TTAACCATAACCAACACATGCCTAACCCTAACCCTTACCCTTACCCTAACCCTAACCAAGTCTTCACCCTAAAATGAATGATAGGGTTATGATATGATATGATAGGATATGATAGGATATGATAGGATACCTCAATGTTTTCCCCATAAGGGAGGCGAGTCCCCACACATGACTGTGTAAACAGATGTAGGTTCCCACAAGTATATTAATGCTAGCCACACACACACACACACACACACACACACACACACACACACACACACACACACACACACACACACACACACAGCCTTTCACCTCACTCTTCTGCTCTCACTGTGCACATTAATGCGTGTTTCCTTCAATTCTCCGGAGTTACTTATTTAGATTAAGATGTACTTCAACTGCAAGATTGACAGCAGCATGGTTTCTGCATTTTCTTGACAACACAGCCTTTTAAAGTAGCATTTATGTCCTTCGCAATGACTAGTTTATTGCGAAGGACATAAATGCTTGACAGCCCGGTGAAACATTTGAATTTTGCAGCGAAAGCTAAAAATACTCGTATGCTGTTTACAGCATGCAGCTTTCTTTGAATATTGATTCCTCGATGTTGGCCATATGTTGTGTCTCATGCATTTAACATTTCTGAGGCAAAGTGGAGAGGGTTCTTGGAGGATGAGGTTTTAATGTTGCATGTGATGCTTCGGGTGAAAAGGGTAATTGAAAGCCCAGTTTTGCATATGATCTTTTTTTACAGTTAGTTTACAGTGCTACATGAAGTCCTTTTTTCTCTCCTTTTAATGTTTTTTCTATCTTTTTTTTATTTAAAAAATATATAAATGTACAGTAAACAGGTAGTTATGTCCTTAGTTAAAATATGTCATTACAATATGTCAGGTAAATTAAAGGTACTTTTTCTTGGTATTATGTTTAGTAAAGGATTACTTTTGTTTAGTTTTATTTATCTGAATTAGGTTGTGGATCACTATTTTTTTTTAATAATTGTCTTTTTACCCCAAAAGGAACTGGCTGGGATTATAATACTTACATTAATGTATTTGTGGTTTGCCGACAATTTTTTGTTAAATAGTTTACCTGCCTATATTGCCAAATGTTTTTTTATATCTAGGCTACCAAGTTTACTTTTATTTCCACATTTAAGGTTGTATTTAAAGCACCAAAGGCACATAGTAAAAGTTCAGTAAAGATTCTGGTTAAATATTGATGATTTCAAGAGGGACTTGAACCACGGGACAGTTTATTAACAATTAACCATACACAATGTCTTTCTCTAAAAACTCTGAAAGTTCTTAAACTTAAACACACACCAAACCACTTCCTACACTCATAGGAAAAATGTGCCAAACATAATATGGAGGATGCAGACCTCCCAATGTTAAATAATATTAATAATAATAATAATAATTCTTCCATCTCGCCTGTGGTTAGAATCTTCTGCAAAATGTAATGTGTTATCTTGGCTTATGCTTCACCCTTTCACCAAGTTCCATGAACATCAGGCCAGTGGTGTTTCTTTAATCCTATCAAGTTAACAAACAGACAAACAAACTGAACCAAAACATAACCTCCCTGGCAGAGGTAATTATGTTTCCCTCAGAACACATTTTGGCTAAACAAATCAGCAGTGTTGAAATGTAATTTTGCATGAGACAGGGTTGCTGCAGGGGAGGAAGAAAGCCAAGGCAATTATACAGATTCTTTCCCCATACACATACACAGACATTGACTTAGAAACAACAACAGGAGTAAGAAGACATAAGAGTACAGTCAAAAGGTCAAACGTGTTGTATAAAAGCTTATCGTTCTGACCATTATTTAGCTTCACGTTGTTTTGAATCTTTCGAGTGTTTTCCTCTTTGCAGGTCATTCATCTTTATGCTCCTTATCTGTCATAATGAAACAACATACACACTCTCTCTGCCATCTCTTTATTAATCAGAACATTTTGCAGTCTAGTCGCTTCACTCTCTTAAACACTGGTGCAGCTGTCTGAATGGCCACATAATGACCTCCTCGCTGGCTACTGTATCTGACTCACTGTCATTGTTAATGTGCAATGTGTGTGTGTGTGTGTGTGTGTGTGTGTGTGTGTGTGTGTGTGTGTGTGTGTGTGTGTGTGTGTGTGTGTGTGTGTGTGTGTGTACGTGCATCGATGTGTAGTGAGGTTTTCATGTGATCTTTTGCTCATCTTTCCACATCCCCTCCCCCCTGCCTCTTTCCCATCATCAGCAGCACTGCTCTTAATGTGGTGCAGTGGACACTAACCTCCTCCCCTCCTCCCCATCTGTCTCCTCCTTTTGCATTTCCTTCCCTTCATATCTGTTTTACATGAGCTTAAAAGAGCTTCAAGCTTAGCCTCATCTTTCTAAATTAAAAGCACATACGTTCACCTCTATCAGTCACTTAAATCTCCCCAGCCGTCACTTGTTACTGCTTCTTTCAAAATGTATTTGTCTTTGAACTCCATTTATTTACGCAACTTTAACTCCCTCTCTCGCTGTCCCATCTTACCCCCCCTCATCTGTTCCTGCTTCATTCACTGTCTCAGGGGGCCGGGGTGATGTCAGTCTATCTGTTTATGAAGCGCTACGCCGAGGAGGAGATGTACCGCCCCCACCCTGCACTCTACCGCCCCCGCCTGTCCGAGAGCAGTGACTACAGCGGCCAGTTCCTACACCCAGAATCCTCCTGGCCTCCGCCGAAGCGAGGCCGCAGCACCTCTAACGCCTCCAGCGACATCTCCATCCAGCTCAACCAGGCCCCCCCACAGCAGCCCAAAAGTGGCCACCACGGGCAGGGCAGCCCCCCCTCTGGGTCTTCATCTGCAGGGAGCTACCAGATGCCCCCACAGTCTGCTGTCTACTCCACACACACCCTCACCAGGTCGCACGGCTCACACCCCCAAGGCCAGGCTCTCCCCATGGCCATGCCTCCATCGCCTGTACCACCCCCTCACTATCACACACACATGCACATGAGCGCCTCCCCCTGTTAGGAAACGGGAGCATTAGGGAGGGAAGGAGAGACACTGACTCCTCATAATCACTTATTCTGTACTTTTAGATGTGGATGAGAGTAAATACTGAGCTTGGAGCACAGACCATTTAAGATGAAGCGGACGGAGAGGTGATAAAACGTGATAAAATGTAGCTTTGGAACAAATAAACCAAGGACAAAGGAGGTGATGGAGATTGTAAGGAAGGATTTAACAGGATTGTGGAGATGTGACAGACACTGTGATGGACAGAGAAAAATATAAACAGGGGATGAGTGGAAAAGGAAAAATATTAATTCAATTTTTCATAACAGAAAAAGGAAAACAAGTGTTTCTTAGAAAGACTTTAGAGGTTAGGTTGAGTGACAGAGGAGGTATAGGGGAGGGAGAGAGAGGCAGGGAGAGCGAGGGGCTGCGGTATAATGTGAAGATACCGCAGTGCTGCAGGAAATTTGTATGCACTTGGAAATGTACAATGCAAAACACTGATCACACAGACTGAGTGCACATAGTTTTATACATGCATAAATCAAAAGAAAACATGGACTACGAACCTTTTACCAAAAGGTAAATGTGGTAAAATATATTTGTGTCTTCTCTGAATTTCTTACATCATCAATCCAGTTTCATAACTCACAATGTCAAAATAGTATTATTAATATAGTTAATTAAAAACATTAGTTTAACAATAGATTAATTCTGGAGTGAGAACACTGTATGTGAATGTTGTTAATATTTGTAAAAGAAAAAAATAACACAGACAGAAATGGAAGATGTTCTGAAATATCACAAGGAGAAATCTACTCGATGTTTTACATATTTGTTTAAGATTCAAATTTCTAAACTTCTTGAATATAAAATCGCACATGAGGACTATTAATATAGCTGTTGTAAATTATAAATGAAGCTTTGGCACAAGTCACATCAAGAACATTTCTGACTCATTCTGCTTTGGATGAAGACTGCAACAGGCCATGGTGAGAAGGAGGAACCAGCGACCCTGGTGGTCTGATGCCCTCTACTGGTCACTGTTCTCCTCTGACCTTGGATCAGCTTTGGGGGCAAAGGTCACGACTTCTACGGGCACTCTTCCTTCCTCAGTGACCTCCACTGTGTGTTTGTTGTTGGTGCAGCACAAATGAGTTGGACTGAAGCTGGTGAATGTTAGAAGAAACAAGACATGCCATTTTGAACTGCACATGGATCAAGAGTTATGCTTTAAAAACTGGTTAGAAGTATTTTTAAAAGCTTTAACGCTGTTGGTATATCTAGATAACTCACATGATGAAAGTATTAATTACATTTGCACTCACTGCTCAAAGGACAATTACACTGTTTGTGAAACGCAGGTCCTTTTTACATAGACAAAGAGACCCCTGCTTTATTCCAATGTTTTCATTGGCTATCTGAGCCAAAGGTTTCTAGAGTATCTGAAAAAATATGTTTTAATGTAATTATATACTGACCTCTGTTTATTTTAAGGATCACCTGATGAGAATTCTTACTTTAGGTCAATCTGATTATCTTCTCGATTTCATGTTTTATCTAGGAAATGTAAGAAAATATTAAAAAATTGTCATTGTTATGGCCCACAACTTAATATAATGTATTTAAGCTGCTTGTTTAATTTGACCAACAGTACAAAGATCATATCATATTTGAGAATCGGAAAGCAGAAAAGACTAGCTATAGAATATTAGCTTACAGGTGGAAACATTTATTATTCAGGTGTTTCAGATGATCAGACATGGGTCAGAGTAGCACTTCCTTTAACATTGTGGGGGCTTTGTGGGACGTTTAAGCCTACTTTGCTGTGCACTTTAACCATATGATGCTTTATGTTTCTTATTATAATATTTTCAGATGCTTTGAAACCGAGTTTCTCTTAAATATTGTATAGCGTCTCAAAGATGCATTCTAAGCAGGACCTGTGTATCAAAAACTGTTTTAATATAGATAGTTTATTTCGTTTATTGTTTTTAAGGCACATCATGGATATGTCGATAATATATATCTCTGTAATGAGAATTAAACCACCGTGTCATTGTTTAGCGGCTGGTTTTCATTATCACTGTGATGCTAAAGAGAGAGGGAAACACACAGATGTCCTACAGAATGTGTGGGATGAAAGTCTTACAAACATACGGGGGAGAATATAAAGTGAGATCGAGGAGATATCGTCACATTTTCGCCTTTTTGCGGACGTTTTGTTGATCAAGCATGTGGTTTTTCAACACCGCCCTTCTTTTTGTTTATGTAGTCGCACAAATTCATATTGAGATGAAGTCCAGTGAAGCTGCAGCCTTCTGTTGTTGCCTCTGCTGTTACAGTAGTGCTTAAGTTCCCTGCTCAAGGTTTATACACACATCCAGCCGATGTGTACTAACATTAGCATCGATTTGGAATGATGTTTGTCCCCACCTAAACTAATAAATCCAGTATTCATTTTCCTTTCAGCTCTGGTATTGGTTTTCACCAACTCCTGAGGGAAATATTTGTCTCTTTAGCTGCTAAATGCTCCACTGGGTTGACCAGCTACTCGCTAATTTGTCTGTCTTTCATTTGGCGCTGAGCAGGTAGTGTGTAGCAGCTGCCTGATGCAAGCTGCTTTGAGAGCAATGAGGATGAACCAGACATAGAGTTTAGAGTTTCTAGTTAATTACAAGAACGAGCTGTAAGATGCTACTGAAGAGCTGAGGTGTCAGGTAATATGTTTTAAAGGGTTGCAACTTGTTTTTCCTCTTTATGATTACATAAAAGGATGTAGCTGTGCTTGATCTGCAGAAAGCCTGGACTTCTTTCATATAACCATCTTTGTAAAGAAAAAGAATATGGGTAAAACAAATGCTTTTCAATGCTTTAATGGAACTGATGCTGTATAATCTTGAGTTACATAAGTCAATAGCAGTTGTGATTAAGATCACTTTTCTTGAAAGTGTTGACATCTGTCACTCACTTTCCTCTTAACATGAATAAAACTTTCAACATGGGTTCATTTCACCCTGTTACACCTCTCTGGCTTCCTGTTTCTAAAATGATAAGTTATACTTTTGCGTTATTTCAATATTCTTTTGATTTAACTTTTACGTGTTTCTTTGAAATGGTTTGCATAACAAGGATAAAACTAAAAAAGAAGTCCTAATTTTGACTGAAATTGTGAGCCCAGCATGCACTTATAATAATATGATACATAAAGAGTGTTTTTTTTTCTGTCTGGTCTTTGTGATAGAGGGAACAATTGTAAGTGAGTGCACACTGCACTGCGGTGAACCACTGGGTGTTAACCAGGCTCCCTCCTCAGTGTCGGCAAGCCACCACAGCCTGAGGCCAACAATTGATCAGAGAGTTGAATGTGTGTATGTTGTGCGTGATTGACTGCGTTTGATGATCTATTTGGTTTTGTATGAATGATGCCAAACAGTTCATCCTGTTTTTGTTACTTATTATCCTACTTAATAATTAAAACAAATGCCTGATTTGTCAAGGTCAAAAAGGGAGTAAAGTGAGGGAACAAGCCATGCAGATGAGCTAATAGCACACTGGCAGAAGAAAATAAATTGAGACTAAATACCATTTGAAAAACATAATTCCTGAATTATAATGCAGAATGAAATGGAATTTGAAAGCAAGATGCCAAAGATGCAGAAAGTGCATAATACTGTGTAAGTGTGTTTCAATGCAAGCAAGGGAAAGAGAGTACGCATGATGGGGAGTTACATTAGGAAGTCAAACATCGAACATCCATATGTCAATAAAACTAAAAAGCATGAGCACTCTGCTGTGTGTGTGTGTGTGTGTGTGTGTGTGTGTGTGTGTGTGTGTGTGTGTGTGTGTGTGTGTGTGTGTGTGTGTGTGTGTGTGTGTGTGTGTGTGTGTGTGTAGTAGTAGTAGTAGTAACGTACGTACGTAGTACGTAGTAGTAGTAGTAGTAGTAGTAGTAGTACGTAGTAGTAGTAGTAGTAGTAGTAG